GAGAGAGAGAGATTTTTGCTATGGAGCACATGCTCTTGCCAGAGAGACAGAAAGTGAGAAATCACCCACCTCGGGAGGACGGCCACACTGTAATCTCTTCTCCTCCATTCTCCTCTTGGGATTTGAGGAACGCATGTACATGCACCTGGCATGAGTTTCAAGCCACCAGGTCTGGGACTCGAACCCCAGTTTACTACGTGGGAATCCAGTGCCTTAACCACTATGAAACTTGCCAGTCCCTAGTTCTTCTGATTCTAAGAATTGGTTCTAAGGCATTGCGTTACAATCATGGAACTTAGAAACAACCTAGATGTCTGTCCTTAGTGGGTTGGAATTATGGGTACTGTAGTTCATGTACACATGGAGTACTCTTGCACGGTTGCAGACAATGGTGTTGCTAGATGTTAAAGACATTGCGATGCCATAGGATAGCATAAGGACAAAAGCAGCTTCAAAAATGCAATGGGTTACAAACTTCCCTTTTCGCTCTTAATATTTCTATATGCCGTGTGTATGCGCGCACCTGTGTGCATGCGTGTGCACACACAGAAATGTACTAGCTTCCAATATGACAGGTGTAAGCCTGGCGTGGTTTACCATTGGCTAGTTAGACCCTTAGAGCAGCCATCTTTCACTGCTTTCACCCCGATCTCGAATCCTGCTTTCATTTTGTTTCTGCTAGTGTCCATCATCAGAGCCCTAACAAACATGTCGGTATATTATCTTTCACACAGATATCATTAAAGGCCAGCTCTGTGGCCTGGTGGTTAAGGCAGCTGAATCCCACATGGCCGGTTTGAATCCTAGACCTGGCGGCTTGAAAAATGAGCTGGGTGTGTTTGCATGCGTGCCCAGCGTCCTGACAGGAGTGAGAAATGGAGGAGAAGGATTGCAGTGTGACCGTGCCTCATTGGGGAGCTTTCTCCCTCTGGCTCTTTCTCTGGCAAGCAAAAATGCCCTCTGGCATATTAAAAAACCATTTAAAAAAAAAGATGCATTTTTAAAGTCTCTAAGAATATATCAAAGAGCCATGCTGATTCTAAGTGGTGATCTTTATATGTTTTCATATAGTCAAAAATTTTTATAAGATGCATACATTTTTTATGATCAGAAAAAAGTAACATAGCTCTTTCTATTTTTAAGAAAATTACTTAGCATAGATTTTTTGCATTAATTTTGATTTTTTTATGGTACATTAAAATGATTTTGGTTTCTACATTTTTGGGCACCTCTTTAAATTGTATTTTAGTTATGTTTAAAAAATGATTATTTTAGCCATGTTTAAGTATGCAGTTCAGTAGCGTTAACTATGTCCACACTGTTTTTCTGCAGATCTCCAGAACTTTTTTATCTTGCGAAACTGAGACTCTGCCTATTAAACAATAACTCTCCCTTCCCCCTCTGCCAGCCCCTGTAGCCTCCCTTGTACTTCTGTTTCTGTGAATTTGGCTGCTCTGGGTACCTCATGGAAGTGGAATCACACAATATTTATCTTTTTGTGACAGGCTTATTTCACTTAGCTTAATGTCCTCAAGGTTCATCATCCCTGTTGTAACATGTGACAGGATTTCCTTTTCAAGGCCAAATAATATTCCTCTGTATGTGTGTGTGTGTGTGTGTGTGTGTGTGTATTTCATGTGTTAGTAAGTAGACGTTTGGTTTGTTTTCACCTCTTCGGTATGGTAAACAAATCTACTATGAACATAAGTTATTTCTACCTTTAAAAGAAATTGAGGGGCCAGCAGGTGGCATAGAGGTTAAGGCAGCTAGATCCCTCATGGCTAACTGTACAGTTTGAATCTTGGCCCTGGCGACTTGAAAGACACGTGAGGTGCATGTCCTAAACCCCAAGAGGAGAATGGAGAAGGGATTGCTACTTGGCCATCCATTTCTTCTTTCTCTGTCTTTGGCAAGCACAAGTGCCCTATAGCAAAAACAAAACAACAACCAAGGAGGGGGGGGAGAAAAGAAAAAAGGGAAAAGCAGAAATTGAAAGAAGCATGTTACTTTAAAAGCCCATGGACTACACAGCATGGAGAAGCAGAGTCCCGGGTCAGGCACTGGGAGACCTCTCTTTAGGCCACCGGAGTTTTCCTACCCACAGGGATCCACTAACTTACTTTAGCCCTCACTCTTCTTGAGCTTCAGTCTCCCTGTGTGATAGCAAGGTGACTAGACCAGAAGGACCCCCAGGACCCCAGGCTCCAGGGTTCCAAGTTCATATCCTTCCCACTCCTCATCCTGCCCGTGTCTCACTGTCTCCGTCCTTCTCTGGTCTCTTCCTCCCACACCTGTCTCATTCCGGTGCAGGGATTCTGGGAGTGGGAGGACGGGCTCCTGGGCTGGCGCCTTGGTCTTCAGTCTCGAGAGCCAAACGTGGGAAGGAGACAGCTGGATGTAATGAAATGGGCTTTAGCGTCGCCTCACCCGTTTAGGGTCCACTTTCTCGAAGTTGGGGGAAAGATGCACACCTGATTCTGGCCTAGAGCAATGTGAACAGTGGCGTCTCTTGGTTATTTCAGCAGGCAGTTACCCAGGGTATTCTCCAAATCTCTGCAAAAGGGTATTCTCCAAATCTCTGCTGACCCAGAAAGTGGTCTACACTGCCCAGTCACGCTGGAGCCACAGGAATGTTTATCTCTTACCCAGAGCCCTAGGAGGCTGACTTCTTCATGGCCAGCATTCCAGACATTCCGTTTGCTTTACAGTCTCTGTCTCCACCCTACCTTCCTGCCGCACCCTAGGGCTCCCACAGCTCTGAAGCCACCTCTGCTGGAGATTTCCTTCTTGCAACTTCCTTCAGGAGGAGCTGAGCCTGGGGACCCTTCCCACCTCATCTCCCACCTGCTGCCCGACTGTCTCTGGCCCCCTCATTCGTGGGTCAGTATACACTACACTGCCTTTCTATGGCTCGTAGAGGGCTCCGCCCACCTCTGCAGAAGCAGAAGTGATGGTCCCCCCACTCTGTGCCCCCCCCACACCCTTCTCACAGTAAACCTTTCCATCGCAGGGGGTTCCCTTTACTCCCTTCAGCCTGGTGGTCCTTGGAGGTGGGTCCTGTGACCAGTCCCTCTTTAGGCTCCCCATCTGGCATAGGGCCTTACTGTGTGTGTGCTTGATACGGATGGGTGAGTGGGTGAAAAGAGAAGTGGGGGGATTGGGATTTTACTGAGGCTTCAGAAAATGTGGTCTTGTCATTAGCTTCTCAAACCAAGTCATGATTGTGGGCAGTTCTGCAAAAATGGAATTTTATTAACAAATAACCCTACCAGCCAATTCATGTGTTTAACTATATTGTGTTGGATACAGTTGATGTGTCTCTAGGAAATCATGTTTTTCCTCATGAGACCAGCATGGAGCATGGCAGTGTGGCCTAAAATCCCTGCTCACCCCGTGTGACGTCCACATGGATCTGGCTGGTGGGTCTGGCTGTGGGCTGCCTGGCTTCTGAATTCTGATCCCCACCCTGAGTCTTGCTTTGGGGCAGGACAGGCCCAAATTATGGGGAGGTTAGAGGCTCAAAGGCATGGGCGCCGGGAAGACCTTGGGTTTCCAGGTGAATCAGTTGCCCTTCTGAGGAGTAATTCGAGGTCCGTTGTTTCTGAACTCCCAAGTGCTCCTGTGCGCCACTCACAGGCTTTGCTTGGTGTGCTGAGGGGGCTAGACAGACAGAAGGAGGCCCTGGAGGAGTGGCTCTGCATGCGAGCTGCCAAGGTAGTTTCTCTCTAACGCTGCCCAGCTTGGCTGGTAGTGACTGTTCAGATAGTCTTGTGAGAAGGATTTTGAGGCCTCAGCTAGGTTTTGCAGAACAGAGTATCGAGATTAATCAGGGGCCAGCCTGTGACATGGTGGTTACGACAGTTGGAGCCCACATGGCCAACTATGCCATTCGAGTCCTGGACCTGGCAGTTTGACATACTTGACAAACCCCAGCCCTTGTGCGTGAGCGTCCAAAATCCCGAAAGGAAGGAGAAATGGAGAAGGGGTTACAGCATGACCATGCCCCTGACTTTTCCTCTCTGTCCCTCTCGGGTGAGCACACATGCCCTCTAGCTATTACAAAACAAAGATAATTAGTAGGCCTGGTCCCTGTGCAACAGTCAGCAGCATGCTGGACTGTGGAGCTAGAAGCCACGCTGATGGCAGTTCTAGAGCCCAACCTGGTCCACCTGAAACACACTGTGTGTGTGTGTGTGTGTGTGTGTGTGTGTGTGTGTGTGTCTAGAATCCTAGCAAGTCGGAGGACTGAGAGAAGGGGATCTCAGTGTGATCAGGTCCTGTGGAGCGTGTTTCTCTGTTTCTCTGTCCCTCTCTCCCCTGCACATGCCCTATCATAAAAACAAAGACCAGTTGGTAAGGTCTGCCCGGGTGAGAGCAGAGTGCAGTGCCGTGTGCCCCATAGCTGCCATCCCTGGTTTTACTGCTGATGGCACAGACTTCGGAGCCTGGCAGCTTGGGATTGAGTCTCTCACGCTGCTGGGCCTTTGTTTGTTCATCCCTGAAGTAGACGTGTGGAAGTCAAGGTACCGTGGCCTACCACAAGCTCAGCGTTCATTTCTGTCTCACACTGAAGCGTACGAAGGCAGGTGGGCGCTGCTGAGCTGGTGTGCCAACTCTGCCTGCCTCGACAGGCAACGCCGCCGTGGTCCACACGGCTGCTCCAGTTCCTGCCATTCCCAGGCTAGGAGGAAAGGAAGCTGGATTAGGGGAGGGGACTCATGCTTTTACAGGTATGCCCCGAGGCTGCCACGTCACTTCTCATTTCCCGTTTGGGCAGGGTGGTCACTTGGCCACACCTCGCTGGGACTCAGCTAGGAAATGTCATTTAGCTGGCTAACACTCTTAGAGAGGGAGAAAATGGGTCTTAGGATGAGATGTCCCCAGGGTGATGCTGGCCACCTCTCGGGGTCCTTAGGAGAACTGGTGGTGACACCTGGCCCTCCACTGGCCCTGAACAGGCCTTCCCTGAGCTCACAAGACACTTCCCTCTCCCTGCCCAGGAGCTGGTGAAGATCCTGCACAAGGCACTGGAGGCTGCCCAGCAGGAGAAGAGGGCATCCAGCGCGTACCTGGCGGCCACCGAGGACAGGGACCGGCTGGAGCTGGTGCGGCACAAGGTGCGGCAGATCATGGAGCCAGGCCAGCGGGTGGAGGCCCTGGAGCGGGAGCGGGAGAGCCTGGCGCACGTGGCCAGCCTGCGCGAGCGAGCAGCAGGTGCAGGAGCTGCAGCAGCACGTGCAGCTGCTCATGGACAAGAACCAGGCCAAGCAGCAGGTCATCTGCAAGCTCTCCGAGAAGGTTACCCAGGACTTCACGCAGCCCCCCAGCCAGGCCCCTGTGACCCCCGAGGCTGCCAACAGGGACTGCTGGAGCCAGCAGGAGAAGATGGAGCACCTGAAGGTAGGGCCCTCCCTCTAGCTTTGCGGGACCGCCCTCTGGGCCCTCGGGGTGGAGGCTGCTCTCTGATCCTACGGGCTTTCTAGACAGAGCGGGGGTGGCCCTTCACATAGGAGAGCTCGCACTGGAAATGGACGTTGCGGGAAACACTGCTTTGGACGGCCTCAGTTTCCTCACCAGAAGCCCCAGTGCAGTTTGACCTTGTCATGTCCTGGGATGCTAAAAACTGTCTCTAGATTATCAAACGAGAGTTGAAGGAGCCAAAGATTAGCCACATCTGGGACCTGGCCTGCTCAGCCTCCTTAGTGCCATGTCAATGGCCCAGGAGCCCCAAGGTACCAGGGTGGCCCTCCCAGGGGTCCTGCCCGAGTGTGGTGCCCTGTGACTGGCGGTGGCTCATTCATGGCAATGGCAGTAAGCGCCAGTCCCATCCACAGACTGACAGAATATGTGCCGGGTGCAGGGCACTGTCCTCAATACAGACACGTACCACACGGAGGGCACCCTCCTCGGTTCCTGCTGGCACCATCTCATGTAAGCCTCGCACCAGCCCCGTGAGGCAGCGACTTGGGTGTGCCCCACTGTACAGCTGGGGATGCTGAGGCTGAGGGAGGTGAAGGAGCTTGCCCAGGGCCGTGTGCCGAAGAGGTCGGGAAGCTGGGATTGGGCCGGGGCTCAGTCGCTCACTGGTCTGCCTGCTCTGTTGCCGCCTGGCTTCCCTGCTCCCCCTAGTACTGGTGCCATCTGGGCTCACTCTGCTTTCTTCTCTGTCCCTGCCTTTGCAGGCCATCCCATCCCACAGGGCCCAGGGAGCTTGTTCGGACAGTGATGGCTGTCACAACTGTTGTCTCCGCTCTTGCGGGTTGTGACAGGAGCTGCCCGGTCACTGGGAGGTAGACACTCGTGGCCCCCACTGTCCCTACAAGTAGCCGGAAAATAAAGGCCACTCCTGCCTGAACCCTGGCCCTCGCAGCCACCCATGAGCACACATAGGGATGCCCTCGGTACTCCCGTATCCGGGAGCTGCTGGGTGCAGGGGGTGGAGAAAGGAAAGAAAAGGAAATGACGCTTTTGAAAGCCCCCTGGGCAGTGCTGGGCAGTGGCCCCTGGCCAGGCTTTGAAGGCTCACTGACCGTGTTTGAACCTTCTTCTGCCTCTTGGCTGGCCTGCCCATTCCTGCCACAGCCATGTTGGAAGGGTGAGGAGAGATCTGACACCCAGAGCTACTTCCCTGCCTTTTAGCAGAGGCTGAGACACCAGCTCACCACTCCCTGATGTAGTCTGAGTCAGAGATTCTTTGGGGTTAAAACGAAGCGAACCCTTTCAAACTCAGACCAGATGAGCTGCAGTGTTAGAAAGCTCTCAGGCCCGACACCGACACCAACACCCACACCGTGCTGAGCATGGCCTCCTTAACCTGCTCGCCCGCCTGCCCTGCCCTCCCTGCCCCTCTTCTCTGCCCTTCCTTGGGACTCAGCGTCTGAGACCCAGTACAGTCACAGGAGTCAGAGACATAGGTCCTCTGGGCGGCTCCAGACTGGCCCGGACTTCACTGTAGTCGTGGACTCACCCAGGAGACTGAGAGTGTCCCTGAATTCAGAGGTTCAGGAACGAAATTGCTCAGCGAGCCCAGATGAGAGCAGACTCCGGCGTGTGAGTCACATTAACCAAACATACATTTGCGGATAATCCTGAGACCCAGTGCTCCGTGCCGTGAAGACACGTGGGCTAGGTGTTCCTTACTTGTCTGCTCTTAGGGGGCAGAGAGGGTGCACAGTTCCAGCTTGCCTGATAACTGGGGACACCTCGCTTTGTGGAGTTGCCCTTGTTGCTGAGACTGGCATTTCGAGGACAGAATCACTGACGTCTTAAGAACCAGAGTTGGAAAGACTCAGAGGTCTGGTCCCCCACACACACCCCCTCATTTTCTGCCAGGGCGAGCTGAGCTGTGAGAGGGGCTGGGCTGGCCCAGGGTCATGCAGCCCTTGGGATGGCACCGCAGCGAGAGCTGGTCCCCCACACCCATCCACTGCCTCCCACGCTCTAGCACGGGCCCAGCCCTGGGCATGTCCCATAGAGAATTCCCGGGTCCTGACCCCTGTGCAGGCAAGCAGGCTGGCTCTCACCGTCCCCCTTCCCTCTGTGCTTTCCTCTGTCGTTGCACTGGTGACTGTTGTGTGGCTTCCCTCTTCTCTGAGGTCTCTCTCTTTCCTCCCTACAGTTCTGAACTAAGAAGGACACTCCAGGTAGGACCACAGCTGCATGAGAGGTGCTAACCAGACCCCCCCACCCCACGCTCACTCCCCACTGCTGCCCCAAATGGCATTCACACCTGGCTCCCTGTCTGGGCCTGTCTGGGCCTGCCCTGGGTCTGGGAGCAGGGTACCTTTTCTGACAAAAGCCTTATTTCCAAAGCCTTGGGAATCCCTGTGAGCAGCTTCCAGGCATGGAAGGAGGGAGAGATGGTGGCTAGGAAGCAGAACAGAGCAGCTTGGAGCAGTTTCCAGCACTGGGTCCGATATGCCTTCCCTGAGCAGTGTTTGCTGAGCACCTGCTGTGAGCTGAGCACATCTGGGCTTGGATCCTGGCTCTTCCCACCAGCGTAGGTGTGACTGTGCTCAGCTCCTCCTCTGTAAAATGGGACCTACAGTACTTCAGTGCTTATCCCACGGCATGTTGGGAAGGCCACCTTAAACAGAGTAACAGACACGAGAGAAATGGGCCTAGCACATAGTAGGAACTTGTAATGGTGTGCATCCCTTCTCCCTTCCCCAGGAGCTTGCAGCATCTTCCCAGGCATGTAGGGAGAGTTCATGAGCTGGCCCCGAATGTGTTGATTTTAAAAACAAACACTAGGGCCAGCTGGTGGCGTGGTGGTTAAGGTGGCCGGATCCCATGTGACTGGCTGCACAGCTGGAGCCCCGGCCTGAGCGGCTGGAAAATCACACTGCGTGTGCGTGCACCCCCCAAATCCTGAGAGCAGAAGAGAGGAAGAGGGGCTGTGCTGCAGCTGTCACCCCTCGGGGGCGGATTTCTCACCTTCTCACTCTCTGGCTCTCTCTGGTGAGTGCATATGCCCGATAGTAAAATGGTAAATGAATAAAATAAAATATTAAAAAATAAATTCAGTAAAGAGCATTGCTTGGGCATTTCCATGTCTTAGTCCTACTCAGGGTTATGCATGTTACCGCCTGCAGTCTCCCAGCTGCCCAGAGGGGTCCTTAGTATTTGACCCTTTTACAGATGAGGCCCCAAAGGACCAGAGGGGTTCGGGGACCTGTCTGAGGTCTCCCAGCAAAGACGTCAGAGTCAGAATGGGAACTCAGGGCCTACTGCTCTCTGTCAAGATCTAGAGTAAGGAGGGGACCAGAGTAACTTTTTTTCTTTCCGTCTTCATTTTCTGTTGCCATTACTGGACATTCTAGAGGACGGAACCTTCAGCAGCTCCCTTGAAGGTGTAACTGACGAGCCGGGAGGTGTTGACGTGCCGCTCACAGCATGCTTTGCTCTCTTCTCCAGGATGACATGGAAGCCTACCGGATCCAGAACCGCTTCCTCAACTCTGAGATCCACCAGGTCACAAAGATCTGGAGGAAGGTGGCTGAGAAGGAGAAGGCCCTCCTGACAAAGGTGTGAGGCGGGGCCCGTCCCAGCCATCTCCGTCCCTGGCCCGCTTTCAGTCCCCATGCCACCACCTGCCCTCACTGTCTGTCTGCTGTCCCCTAAACCCAGTCCTAGTGAGCAGGGCCTGGTCACATTCTCCACACCCTGTGGCCTGGCCGACTGAGTCGTCCTCCCTGCAGTGCCCAGCTATGGGTAGGGATGTTTAGACCAGTAAGCGGTTCCTGCCCCTCAAGGGGGCACAGATGAGTGAGGGGGTGAACACGGTCAAGGCACAGCCAGACTCACAGGACCCCTGGGGGCGCAGAGGGAAGAAGGGAAGTCAGGAGGGCTTCCTGGAGCCTCCCAAGTTGAATTCTAAATGGGAGTTAGTGTTATCCAGGCATCGAGCAGGGCAGGGCCTTTCAGAAAAAAGACAGCCTAGTGAAGACCTGTGGTCTGAGAGACCGGGAGCAGGGCTGGGGAGGGGGGAACATGAGGCTGGAGGTGAGACTGGAGCTGAGGAGTTTGGGGCTTACTCTGAGGAGACCGGAGAGCTGTTGAGGGGACGGCCACACCGCAATCCCTTCTCCATTCTCTCGGGATTTGGGGCTTGCACGCCTAGCTGCCTGGTGTGAGAGTCAAGCTACTGGGTCCAGGTCTCAAACCGCAGTTGTCCATGTGGGAGTCCAGCACCATAACCACTACCCCACCTGCCATTGATGGGTTTTAAGCGGAAAGGCCCTCAGTCTGACATGTTCTGAGAAGACAGCTGTGGCTGCTCACTGGAAGGTGGACTGGGAGAGCTGGACCAGGAAGTAGGGAGGCTATACAGGACCCCTAGCAGAAATCCCAAGACAGGTGTTGGGAACGCCTTCAGGAAGAAGCCCGGCCACAGAAGGGAGCAACTCTGTGCCCGGTGTCTGGCGCCCAGGAGGAGCTTGCACATGTCAGCTTGTCCGCCCGGGAGGCACTGCAGCCATGCAAGAGCCTGGGCCGTTCCCGGCCGTCTCTCCTGTCTTCTAGCCCAGCTCCAGCACTGGCTCCTGCCTGCCCTACTGTAAACTGCTGGGTCAAGGCCCATCTCCTTTCCCTGTGTGAAGGTCCAGAGTGGGGAGGGCCCGGCTGCCTAAGGCGGCCCGTCCCAGCCAGGTGGCCTGAACAGCCTGCCCCTCCCTCTCCCAGTGTGCCTACCTCCAAGCCAGGAACTGCCAGCTGGAGAGCAAGTACCTGGCCGGGCTGCGCAGGCTGCAGGAGGCCATGGGGGACCAGGCCAGTGAGTGCTCAGAGCTACTGCGACAGCTCATCCAGGAGGCACTGCAGTGGGAGGCCGGGGAGGCCTCGGCGGACAGCGTGGAGCTGAGCCCCGTCAGGTGAGCCCACGGCGAGCCAGGGCAAGGTTAGTGCATGGCCCAGAAGCCCTGATGCCCTGTAGTTCCTGCTGGCTATGTGCGAGCTCACACAGCCTCCCCGCCTGTCCTCAGCCATGTGAGCATGTGGTTCTAGCCGAGGTTGTGCAGGCTCAGGGGCGGCAGCCCCTTGGCCATGGCTGCATGGTACAGTCACACTGACACGTTTTCCACTTCTCCAGGCTGCGTCCTCTGAGCCAAGCCCTTGCCGAGCACAGTGGCCGTGGACAGTGAAGTATAATGGAACAGAGCGTGGCTGTGCTCAGAGGCCCTGGAGGCCGGGTGGCCCAGTGCAGGAGCCCGGGTGGCCCCAGTGCAGGAGCCCGGGCTTTGGAGCCCGACCTGGCTCTCCTGTGTGACCTTGGACAAGTCACTTTACCTTTCTGAGCCTCATACTCAGCCTCTATAAGGAGTGGGCTAAAACCCCTATTTTTAATTCGATGAGATAGCACATGCCAGGCACATGGTAGGGACAGATAATGCTAACTAAATGAAAGGCCTCTGCACCGGGTCCCCCGTGCTTCCCTCTCGGCTTATCATTGGTGCTGTCCAGCCCCAGCCATCCTTGGGTTGCTGGCTGTGGTGAGAGCAACTGTGTTTTCGCTGTGCAGGGCTCCTGGCTAAGGCTGCGTGGAGCGGGAAGAGGTCCTTTTATTTACACAGACTGACCGGGACCATCCCTCTTGGGCTCATACTATGCACCAGGCGCTGTTGAGGGCCTGCCCCTTGCCCCTTATCTAGGGAAGGGCTCTGCATGTGTGGCTAACACGGGCTCTCACCGGCAGTGAGTATGATGAGTATGGCTTCCTGACGGTGCCCGACTACGAGGTGGAAGACCTGAAGCTGCTGGCCAAGATCCAGGCACTGGAGGTGCGCTCCCACCACCTGCTGGCCCTCGGGGCTGCAGAGCGGTCACTGCAGGAGCGCTGGGCAGCCCTAGGCGAGCTCGTGCCCTCGGCCGAGCTCAAGCAGCTGCTGCGTGCGGGCGTGCCCCGTGAGCACCGGCCGCGCGTCTGGAGGTGGTTGGTGCACCGGCGCATCCAGCACCTGCACACTCCCGGCTGCTACCAGGAACTGCTGAGCCGAGGCCAGGCCCGCAAGCACCCTGCTGCCCGCCAGATCGAGCTGGACCTGAACCGGACCTTCCCCAACAACAAGCACTTCACCTGTCCCACCTCCTGCTTCCCTGACAAGCTCCGCCGGGTGCTGCTGGCCTTCTCCTGGCAGAACCCCACCATTGGCTACTGCCAGGGCCTCAACAGGTGAGCCGACAGCCCAGGGAGGACACGGCCTGTGCCCTGCAGAGGCAACTCTGTCTCTACAGCCTCCTCAGGCATGAGGCCAGGAGGCTTGGTCCCCACTGGAGAGATGGGGCGAGGCAGAAGTGAGGACATGGACAAGACAGAGACGGGCAGGGCTCAGGTACCTCTCTCTGTGCACCCTCCTCTGTGAGGGGGGCGGGGGGCACTCGCCCAGGAGTGTATAGCACATGGCCTGGCTCAGGTGTTGAGGGGCTGTCTGGGTCAAGGACATCTGCCTTCGGTGAAGTCCTCTCAGAGGAAAAGGGCATTTGTATATGCTCCAAGCCAGGAGAGGAAAATGGAGCTGAAGGCCAGGTGGTCATCGGAAGCCCAGGCGAGTGCTCTGTCCAGCAGGACTGCAGCCCTGCACATCCCCGGGGGCAGGACCATGCCTACCCCCAGCAAATGTATCCCGGCTTCCGTCGCTCTCAGCAGCCCAGCTCTGTCCACTCATTCTGAAGACATTTGGTTCCCACTCAGGCAGTGGCAGCAGAGAGCTGAACCCCCAAGTCAGGGCCTTTCGGCAAGTCTTCCCACTGCACTTAACCCCTCACGTCCCAATCCTGAATTCCCAAAAGAAGGAGCCTGGTTCCACCCAACTTCTGGGTGAATAGCGCAGAGGGGGTAGGTGGCAGAGGATGGGGTCCTCTAGTTCAGAGCTATCTCCCGGGAGTGTGGTGGACCCTCACGGATGCCTCTGGCTGTCTCAGTACAGACTGTATAGTCTCAGATATTTCCCAAGGCATGCGTGCACATGCGCACACACACACACACACACACACACACACACACATGCACATACACACCTGACATAAGTTTCAAGCTGCTAGATTCAGGACTCGAACCATCGGCCATGTGGGAGTCTAGTGCCTTAACCAACACGCCACCTGCTGGCCCCGTGTTCCAATTGTATGCTACTCTAAATGTCTTCTACAGATATCAGAAGTTTCATTCATTCATTCATTCATTCATTCATTCATTCAATAGCTGAGCAAAAGCCTATGCACTTCTCACCTGTTTGCACATGTTAAAATCCAGAAAGGAAACATTTACTACACCTCCCTGAGAGAGGGAGACAGAGAGAGAGGTGCCAACGGGGTCTTTATTACATGATCCTACCCCTAGTCCCACCTAGCCAGGATCACAGGCACATGTACCCAGGGTGCGCAGGGAGACCTCAGGATGCAAACCCAGGACCTTCCCATATAACCTCAACATCATGGTGCATTGTGTCACTGCTACACCACCATAGCTGACCACAAAGTCTCTTTAAGAATATCTGTGGAGGGGCTGGCAGATAGTGTAATGGTTATGTCACTGCACTCCCACGTGGTCGACCGCGGTTTGAGTCCTGGACCCAGTGGCTTAAAACTCATGGCGGACACGTGTGCGTGCATACCCAAAATCTCAAGAGGAGAATGGAGAAGAAGGGATTGTGGCATGGTCTGCCCCCTCCAGGGGTGATTTTTCACTTTCTATCTCTCTTGTCTCTGTCTCTCCAGCAAGCACATGTGTCCTATACCAAAAATCTCTTTAATTTTTTTTTAAATATCTGTGAAAGGGGCTGGACAGTGGCTCAGTGGTATAACACGGTGCTCTGTGAGGCTGACCATAGTGACGGCATAAACCATGGCAGGCTGTAGCTAGGGGTAGGTCAGGGTGTCAAGACCCTTTGGGGGGGGGGGGGGGTGATGGCTCTCTCTCTCTCTCTCTCTCTCTCTCTCTCTCAGAAATAAATGAATAAACTTTAAAAAGAAAAAAAAAAGAATACCTGTGAAGGGTGCTGGAGCTCTGAGATCAGTGTGAATAATCATTTTTACATTTCCTTGCAAAGAGCAGTTAGAAAAGAATGCTTACTGAGGGTCCTTTGGACACCAGGTGCTTTATCTACCTGACATCATCCAGCCTTCATGGAAACCCTGTAAAGTGCGCATTGGTGCCCAGGTGAGACGAGAGAAGGTCTGAGAGGCTGAGGGAGCTGTACAGAGCCTCACCACGAATGGTGACAGGGCCAACTAGCAGCCCTTGGACTCAGGCCTCCAAACCCAGTCCCTCCTCCAACCCACCCTCACTCAGAATGGCAACTGTGACAGAGGGCATGCCAAGGCCACCAACCACTTTCGAAACCAGAAATGAGATTAGCCACGTGTAGGCTATGGTGCATTGGAGGCCAGCCTGTGCCGAAGAGGCAAGGGGAATATCCTAGAGCAAGGTGGAGCCCGAGATAAACGCCACAGAAGGAGAGAAGCTTCTCCCCGTGTGGAAGGAAGCGACTCTCAGGCCACAGAGGGACATGGGAATGACAGACCTAGAGGGGCTGAAGACACCAGAGGGTTGTTTTTAGTATCTTTCCCTGAAAGCTATTTTTGCTTAAATTGTATATGCAAGCATAGCTAATTGATATTTATACAGTATTTTATAAAATTTCTTTAAATAGAAAGTCGTTTTCATAGAAAGAGCCTGTTCAAATGTGGAAAATGTGTATTCTTTTGAAGGCCCTTAAACGCCAGCCTACAGACCCTTTCCACTTGCCTGAGTTGCCATCTAGTGGTGACTATTAGAACTGCATGTTGTGTCTCAAGATGACAGACCCTGCTTCTAAGACAACAAATCCAGCCTCTTTAGATGGGACAGATATAGTGATAATCTAATACTAAATTAGAGCCAAAATGAAAATATTTTCCTGTGAAAATACATAGAATGCTTTTAAAGTAGTTCGTTCTTTCCCCTATGACCACACGTCCTCTGCAGGCCTGCTTTCGCTCTCCGTGCCTTAGGTTGGAATCTAGCTATAGCCCTAAGCAGTCAGTAAGCCCTGGTGTAACCAGCATCATATAGTGACCTTTCACTGTGTACAGGAGTCTAAGCCCATGCTGTAGCCAACTCCTGGCTGGGGACGTCCTGTGGCTCAGATGAAATAATGTGTAGTGGAGTGCAGAGACCATGAGGCAGGACTTTGGGAGTCCTGGGTTATAAGTCCACTCTGTCACCAACTGCCTGTGAGCTTTTGCAAGTCATTTCTGCTTTCTGGGCCTTGGTTTTTCCATATGTGCCAGAAAGCATTTGTCTAAACTAATGAAGATCAGTAAGAAGCAGCTGTCTGGAGCCCTGTCTTGAGAGTTTCTGAGGTAGCCTGCAGGCTCAGTGGGAAAGAAAAAAAAAAAGAGTGCCATGATCACTTAGTTATGTCTGCCCTGGGCATAGACAAAGGGAATGCTGCTATGATCACTTAGTTATGTCTGCCCTGGGCATAAGCAAAGGGAATGTTTCCATGATCAACTACTTATGTCTTCCCTGAGCATGACAAAGAGCAGTGGCTGGTGTACAACACATTTGCTCTGCCTGAACTCAGTGACCACAGAAAGTCCTTTCCCCCCAGCTCTGAA